ACGAGGCGGCTAAGAAGATCACAGAAAAACGAATGCAAGCGGCGATCTTATTCTTCGACTTTGAAAAGGCGTACGATCAAGTCAATTGGGACTTTCTCCACAACTACATGGAGAAGATGGGAGTTGGCCCAAACTCTGGAGAGTGGGTGAGAGTACTCTACGGGGATGCCACGGGCAGGGTGCAGATAAACAGAATACTGTCAGAAACCTACCCGATATCGAGATCAGTCCGGCAAGGCGACCTCCTCGCACCCTCAATATTCTTGTTCATAATGGAAGCCATCGCATCGTTCCTGCACAAGGACCCATCCATAGACCACCTGACCGAACAGAACAACAACCCCCTCCACGACTTTGCTCTCCCCACCGCACAGATGTTCGCAGACGATCTCACGGTCCTCATCCGCGCCAACAACTCCTCTTTCCAGGCCTTGGCCCGCGCCATGGAAGCCTTCAGACTCGCCTCAGAAATGAAGGTCAACTGGCTGAAAACGGAAGGGTGGTGGCTCGCAGAAGGCACCCCCCCCCAACCCCCAGACCCATCCACCCCAATGTCCTGGACTACGGGCGATCAAGCACTTCGCTATCTTGGCATTATGGTAAACAAGGATGGCATCTGGCAAGGGATGGGGGAGTCTCTACTCACCAGAGCAATAACCCGCTTAGCCACCTGCAACAAATCCTTGACCTCCCTACTAGGGAGAACCCTGATCATCAACACAACAGTATTCTCCACCTTGTGGTACATGGCCTTCATATGGTGCCCCCCCGACGACGACCTGAAGTAGTTGAAGGGTAGAGCCAGGTGTTATCTGTGGACTGGCAACCCCAACAGAACCACCTGTATAAACAAGGTGGCCTGGCAAACGGTCTCAGGAAACCAAAAGAAGCAATCGCCCTCCAAATGAAATGGATAGTTAAAATCCTAACCAAACAAGCCCTCCCGTGGACCACGATGGCGAGAGACAGCATAAGGAATCTGGCACCAGTAGCGACCCCACCAAACATGAGTGGCCTGTTCTGGATCATGGCAAAGGAGTGGACAATCAAATCAGGGAGACCAGCAAGGAAAGCAAACCCAGGGACTCCCACTTAACCCCCCACCACACCCACACCCTACTGGCCTCCGATCCTAAAGACCTGGTGCCGACTGATGCCAGACAAGAAAGGGTTCCCGAGCAACAAAGAGGAAGTCCTACGACAACCCCTATTCTGCAATCCCTGGATCAAAGACACAAAGGGCAGGCCGTGGACTCTCCGGGCTAAAGACCGCAGATGGTTGTCATGGGTGGAGAGATGAGTATGGCAGGTCAAACATCTGTGGTCCGAAGACCGACAAGAATGGCTCACCGCACAGGACCTTCGCACCTAGATACCACGACCCCCATCACCATCACATGGCCCAAATACCTCCTCATCAGACCAATTAGAATCCGAAGCATGCAATGGCTAATAGCACATGCAGCCCTGCCAGTCAACCAACGGTTACACGAGTGAAGGAAACACTCTGATCCGGATAGCTCGGCATGTTGCTCAATGTGCAGCAACGACTCACCCGAAGACATCCCCCACTGCCTCCTTTTCTGCCCTGAAGCAACCTGGATGGAAGAAGATCCACGAGCTATGGTCGATCCTGTTCGCTGCACCCCCCCCTAACATCCCCCCTATCTCTATCCTACTTCTAACTAACATCCCCAGCAACATCAAGGCAGCAGGGAAGCATGGTTCACCCTACTCAGGAAGCTGGCATTGTGGGTGATATGGAAACGCAGATGCAGTCACACAATCGAGGGATCAGAGGTGGCAAGAGAAGAAATGTGGTCACTACTGCTGACCATGGCAGAGACGGAAATCAGGAGCAGATGGCGGAGAATAGCAAACCCTGCGAGACACAGACGAGAAGGACAAGCAATTAAGAAACGGACATTCATAAGGCTGCTAAAGGGCAAGGTGGCAACGATAGTAGACAACAGACTGAGGTGGAAGAAATGGCACCAGGCTTAATCATGAAGACCACGAGGGTACCTGCCGGGTGACCTAGCAGAAGTTCTGAATGGGGACCAACAAAAAGAGGACCGGACACACAGGGAAGGACAAGGACAAGCAACAGAACACAGAGTGGGAATCATGTCGCCCTGAAGTCCTGTTACTCTTCCTGATTGGGAATTGTCCTTCTCTGGGGGATCGACAAATTTTGTCAGTTCTTCCATCTGATTTG